ATCTGAACTTTTATCAACGGGTGCTTCAACTTCTGCTGCTTTAGCTCCATCCACTGTCCCATACGACTTAGGCATCCAAGTTCCTTTCCGACCTTGTACTGGACCCTGATTTGCTGATTGGACCTTCCCAAACTGTATGGGTTTAACTGAAGCATTGGTCTGCCCATTGCCTCCACTAAGACTCAACTCACCAACTCTGTTAGTGACAGCGGCTGAAGAATCCCCTGTCGACGCTGATGAGCCATCAGTCTTTTGCTTTTGTGTCCACTTTTGTTCTCCACGCCCACCCCTTCGCTGCAAAGTAAACCAAACATCTCAATCACACAACTAAGCCAGGCAAAGTTCAACTAAAGTAAACACAATTACAGTGTTCAACACAACTTATGAAGGCCGTGAGGCTCTTGACTATCCGAAGCAATGCCATAGCTACTTCTAAATCACAACCACAACCACATTAAGATATAGCACATGCCTACATACATCAACCATACTCCTACACAAAACTAAATAATATTCATACGGGCCAACCAACCAAGTCTTCGCTGAAACTGATCTCACACACAAATAATCACAGTCCCGAAATATCAGACGGAATTACAAAGCTAAATTCATCCAATTTAACCATAATAAGCAAATGATCATCTCTAGCGAAAAAAGAAAAAAAAAAAAAAGCAAAGCAAATGATCATCGTCCGCAACAATAATTAGAAAAATCTTCAAACAATTTCAAATGGGGTGCATTGCATAACAACACGGTTCAAAATCCAAATTTAAACTAAAATTGAATTAACAATTAGCAATTAATCGATTCCCAACCAAACGTTTCGGCCAAGAAAGTCACTCAGACGACGATCAACGAACCGAAACAGCCATCAACCAATTTAAAATCACATTCAACGTAAACGAGCTCCAATGAAACACAGAAAATGATCGCCAAACTATACAAAACAGCGTAAAAATGGACAATTTAAATTAAATTAAAACAAAAATTGGTACCTGGTTGTAAGGCATGGCGGAATGGGAAAATGGGAGAGAGAGATGGAAGAGGAGAGAAAAAGCGAGGGAGAGAGAAAGCGAGGATGGGAGGATGAAGGAAAGGAGGATCGGAGGAAGAGGAAGGCTCCGGAAACGAAGGTTGAGGAAGACGAAGACGAGAGGGGAGGAGTGAGAGCGGGAGCATTGATGATTCTCTGCGACGCCCACATTCAATCGCTACTCTAGACGTGCCACCACTACGCTTCTATATTTACATGAGAGAGAGTGAGAGAGAGAGAGAGAGAGAGAGAGAGAGAGAGAATGTGGAGGAGGAGCCAAGTGGAAGAGAGACAGAGGGCGGGTTCTAGAGGTTGCGGCATGTCCATGCACAGAGATTTTGGTTTTCCATGATAGACCATATTACCCTATTAAATTGTCTTGTTCCACTCTAAGGCTGGGTTTGGAATTACTGTGCTTTAAAAAAAAATTATTTTTACTGTGCTGTGAAAATAAGCAGCTGTAAAATAAAGCAGTAGAGTGTTTGGTAAACTTTTTTGTAAAAATGCTTTTGGAAAAAAAAAATAGTATTATAATGTTTGATAAATTTTTATGTAAAACAGATGTGAAAAAAAGCTAGTTTTTCAAAGCTGGGTTTTGCAGCTTTGTGTTTTTGGTTTTTTTCCAAAACTGTGAAAAAAAACTAAAGCTGAATGTTTACCAAACATAAAAAAACTCCCAGCTTTTTTTTATAGCCACTTTTTTCAGAATCACTTCAGTACCAAACTAGGGCTGAGGTGATTCTGAAAAAAACTGGTATAAAAAAAAAAGTTGGGAGCTGTTTTTGTGTTTGGTAAACATTTAGCTTCAGTTTTTTTTCATAGTTTTGAGTGAAAAAAAGTCAAAAACAAGAAGCTGCAAAACCCAGTTTTGAAAAACCAGTTTTTTTTCACATCTGTTTTACATAAAAAGTTTACCAAACACTATAATACTGCTTTTTTTTTTTTTTTTTTTTTTTTCAAAAGCAATTTTACAAAAAAGTTTACCAAACACTCTGCTACTTTATTTCATAGCTGCTTATTCTCACAGCACAGCAAAAGCAGTTTTTTTTCAAAGCACAGCAATACCAAACCAGCCTTAAAGCTATTGCTAACATGAAACTTGGGGAGGCCCTCACTTATTCCTATGGTTTAGTAGTATTTTTTCTCATTTATAAATGAGAGATGTTAGGTTCGATTCTTAGCGTCAGGAGGAGATAAGAACGTAAACGTTTTTTAACAACACGAATTTGCGTGGGTGTTGTCTCATCTCGATCCTTAAATCGCACAAGTATGATAAGCACGTGTGATGTACTCTAACTTTTAAAATGTTGCTCCCAACACATTTATCTGTTCTAGCTAAAGTAATAAGATTATATACCAACTGCAAATATGTTTGCAAAAATAGACATACTTAAAGGACGTCGAGTTAACATCCTCGAATGATGTGCCTTCATTGAATGATGGTTTAGCCACTCTTATTGGATAGTCTGATACATCGGCGCATAGTCAATCAATCTATTTTGACCTGAGAAGCACGACAGATCACTCAATTCGTAGTGTTCACTTCCCAACATGAGGAAGGATAAGGCACAAATGAAGCCCTACTTGATCGTTATCTCAATCATTTCCATCTCATGAGATTAATTCGGAATACTCTCGAGACTTAAAGTTCTTGGTCCAGTATATCAGTTTGGATGAGATATGGAATTGGAATAAGATTATCATCGATGATGTTTTCACTTATATAGGAGCTACGACATAAATAAAAAGTGACGATAATGAATCACGTTCCATTGATTAGTGTCAATGTAGAACTGATTAGGCAACCAAAATTACAATTCAAGTTTAGTTCCTTATCAAAGTGTGTTTGGACATGTCGTTCTACACTGCCTAAGATAACCCTCTTGTGTTACAAGTGCGAAAAGAAGCGTAATGATATAAATGAAATAGTGCGATATGATATACGCCTTACAGCGCAAGATTTCTCTCAAACACTATGTGATTGATTGCAGCATTATGCATGTTGTTAGTATTTCTCCATGGGATTGGACAGATTGACATGTAAGTCTCTGAATAATTATATGGACTAGTTCAAATAGTTTCAGACCACGAAACATACTCTCAACTCGTTTGAGGCCGTTCACTTTACAGAGGAACTGATTTTTGCGTTTGTCCACCATTAATCATTTTTGATCATTTTGTGAAAATTATCTGTTAAAGAATAATAAAATGATAAAAATACTCTCAATTTTTGTCACATCATTTTAGCCTATCATTTATTAAATTGAGTGTATTTTTGTCATTTTGAGTTTATTTCACAGAATGATCAAAATAATTGATGGAAAATAAACTCAAGGATCAGTTTTATCGATTTCAAATATCAGAAACTAAAATGAGAAGTTATGCTAATCTCAAAGACTATTTTGGATAAAAAAAACCTTTTTTGAATGAGAACTAAAGTCCTTTTCGTTTGCTACCACAGTAACAGTGTTACGATTAACAATTTTTTTTTTTTTTTTATCAAAAGGGCCAGTTTAAAATATTTATCTGTTAAAGAATGATAAAATGATAAAAATACTCTCAATTTTTGTCACATCATTTTAGCCTATCATTTATTAAATTGAGTGTATTTTTGTCATTTTGAGTTTATTTTACAGAATGACCAAAATAATTGATGGAAAATAAACTCAAGGATCAGTTTTATCGATTTCAAATCTCAGAAACTAAAATGAGAAGTTATGCTAATCTCAAAAACTATTTTGGATAAAAAAACTTTTTTTGAATGAGAACTAAAGTCCTTTTCGTTTGCTACCACAGTAACAGTGTTACGATTAACAATTTTTTTTTTTTTTTTTTTTTTTTATCAAAAGGGCCAGTTTAAAATATTGTGACTATTAGGACCATGAAAAAAATTGCCTAGTTTATTTATGAAAGGAGTGTAAGAGCTCGTTTGTGTGTCTTTTTAAAATGATTGAAAGCGTTTTAGTGAAAATATTTTTGAAAATAATCCTTAATAAAAATGCTAGTAGATTCTTGAAAAATACTTAAAAGTGCTTATTAGAAGAAGCACATAACTGATACTTCTTGTATAAAACACTTAAAATGTTTTTGAAACTTAAAAATATTTTATCTAAAAACATTTTTAATCATTTTAAAAGTATATCCAAACAAATGTAACCGATAATTTTTTTTAAAAAATTTTAATTCACATACTTTACAATCCAGTGTGCGGCTGAGACGAGGAAACGGCATCTTTGCGCTTCTGGGTTCTTATTTCTTAGCATTTCCTACCGAGAAAAACAGCTTTTACCACTCACCAGCAGATCGGTGGCATAGCACTCTTGTATTTTCCTGGGCCCTCACCTATCAGGTAATTTTCTTCCCAATTCGTTTGAGTTCCTTTTCTGTTTAAATTTTTTCTCGAGAAAGTTAAATTGTTGGCTAGATATCTGTCGAGATAAATTGATATTCATGGATTTTCTTACCTTTTCTTTCAGTTTCTGTGTAACCAAACAGAGTTGAATTATGCGTTTTCTGTTTTTTTTTAATTTTGTATTGAGAAAAAAAAAAAAGGAAAAAAGATTTTGCAATTTCTCTGTCTCAGTTTAAAAACAGAAGAAAAATGAATAATTTGTATAAGCAAGTAGTGGAATAGTTGAGAATACCGGATTAAGGTAAAACTGAGAATTCTCGAATAATCTCACAAACTTCAGAAAACGTTATTCTTCTTCAGAAGGAGGTTGGGTTTTATAAGATTACTCATTTGGGAACTGCTTTAAATGTCTGGAAGTGCTTTGAGAGAATATTTTTGAATTTCAAAAGCACTTGAGGTTCAAAGCCGGTTTCAGTCAATTAAAAGCACGCTACAAATGAGCAATAATACGAAATAAATAAAATCAAACCTTTGTCCACGAGACATGGAAACCTAAACCAAAACAAGTCCCTACAACACAACAAAATCTTTTCCCACAAGGTGGGATCGGCTGTGGGGATGCAACACGAGGATTTCCCAGGACGTCATCCACCCTAGTACTACTCTTGCCCAAACTCGTTTAACTTCGGAGTTCGAATGGGATCCGGTGCATGTGAGCTCGTATGATCACATCCCAAGGATTCGACGTCCGATAGGAGTGCCGGCTGTCGACTACCTGACGCCCTTCCCCTCCCTCCTCCTTTATCCGGACTTGGGACCGGCATTGTAAAATAAACTTACACAGGAGGAGTTAAACCAAAACAAGTCCCTACTTAAATATTATCTCTAAAATACTTTCCAATGCCCTGGTGGATAGGGCTTTCTATTTATCACACTGCATCCAGGTTCAAACCCCCTTAGTTTAAATTAAAATAGTAATATCGCTTGTAATCAAATGAATATTTTGTGTAAAAAATGATCAGGTTGCAAATGGGTACGTTGTCGAAGCATCAAGCAGGTGTAAAAGATAGGATTGGTGAATTACCAGAGGCCAGTTTCCTTCCTTCCAACAACATGTGCTGTGAGGACCACCGTTTTGTCCAAGAGATGGAAGAACAGATGGACTTCCCTCGCTACCAATCTAGACTTCGATGACAGAAGAGAATTTAATACTAATGAACCAGGTTGCTACAATTCAAATCGTTTTATGAATTTTGTTGACTCTGTATTTTTCTTGCGTGACTCATTAGACATTAACAAGTTCCGTCTTGCAATATCTGAATCCATGGATTTCTCTCGTATTGATGCTTGGATTTGCATTGCCGTTATGCGCAATGTTGTTGAACTTGATCTTGATCTTTCTGATGAAAGTGGTAGAGTTCTTGATTTTGAGATGCCTCAAAGCCTTTTTAAGAGCAAAACACTTACGATTTTGAGAGTGTCTTCAAATATTATTTCCTACTATCCTCCTACATCAGGGTGTTTCCCTAGTCTCCAGTTCCTTCACATTAGTGCTGATAATCCTTATAAGGAGTCAATAGAAAAGCTCTTTTCTTGTTGCCCTGTACTTGAATATTTGAGTATACATCTATCTGTTGGCCCCGGTTTCATCCACAAGATTAATATCTCTGCACCTCAACTGAAAACATTGCAAATATCTTTGGATGAAGACAATGAGAACAAGAACTACTTTTATATTAATGCCCCACAGCTTGATAATCTCAATCTCAAGGGGCGTGATTTGTCAAATTATTTTTTGCAGAATGCAATATCCGGAATCAATGCCAGTTTTGCTTTCAAATACCTTTCCAGAAATCAATTGTTCTCATTTCCCGAGCGTGCTCTGGCTGGAATTTCCAGAGTCAAGTATCTCTCTCTTTCGGCATATTCTTTGGACGTAAGTACACTGACTCTTGCTTTTACATTATCTTCGGTAGAGAATATATATGAGGGAAGAAACAAATCCCATGCATCTCTCAATTTTCATTCGTCTTAACCTGTTTTTTATTATCCTTCTCTGTTCTTCATGTTAAATTCCCTAAATTATGCTCATCAGCGTTCGGCACTTATCACGCCTCATCATAACCCTCTATTAATATGTGGACCTAATTTTTGATTAATTTCATTTTTTTTTTCTCTTAATTTTTATCGTTTGATTTTGGTACACTACTTTTCCTTGTTTCATTGGTTTGTATGAACATTGGACTTTGCCCCTTTGAGTAAACACCTGAATTATCACCGTATTGGATTGAATTATTCCCCATTCTTATAATTAACACTTGCCGTTCATCATGTGGTTATTATATTTGGGTTAATATATTATGCATAAGGAAAAGTTAAATTTTTGCATGATGTTCTGTTTGATTAATACTTTTGGTTCTTTCACCAAGGCCCAGTATCTCCCTGTTTTGGTTAACTTGACCAAATTGAAGCTGGTCCTTCATGAGTGTAAGTGCTGGGAATTGCTAGCAGAGTTGCTCCTCAGAGCACCGAATCTGGAAGATCTTGCCTTGGAAGATGTAAGTAAAATCGGTATTCGCTTATTCTATGCTCCACCGACATGCAGCAGCTCATAAAGTCAATTCTCGTTCCATTCATTCTGAGGAAGAATATTCAGAGGTACGGGAGTCGCCAAAGTTTCTACCTAATTGTTTATCTTCGCATCTCAAGACTATCTCCATTACGGGATTCAAGGGAAGGCCGATTGAGAGGGAAGCGGCTAAGTACATGTTGAGGAATGGTCATCTTTTAAATAAGATGACAATTTACACACATAGACGCCTTTTCTGCAAGAAAGAAGAATTATTGAAGGAGTTTTTGATGTTTCATAGGGCAATGACTTGTCAAGTTGAGTTTATTGAGATGAAGGTTTAGGTCACTACAAGGATTTGAGTTCAATGCATGTTTTGATGTGGAGTTTGTAAAAAACATATTGGCAGTGGCAGGCAACCTATTTCCAATCTGTTTGTGTTGGATTTAAGGATCGAATCTCTTTCGATTCGTTAACTCTAGTGAGATTTGATTGATATGCTCTCTGCAGAAAGGGACACTGTTGTAGAACCCGCATTTTTGTCTATTTCAATGAATAGAACCGTCTAATTTATATGTTTTCTCTCAAAGATCATTCTTGCAAAAGACCTCAAAATCATAACTATTTGCGCATGTAATGAATGGTTGTCGTTTTAGTGTTGGTAGAACAATTGATTGAGGTATTTCTCGGGAGGTTTTATATTCAAATCTCAACAATGGGGAGTTGACTACCAATAACTTTCCTTGCCGTCGGCAAGACTCGATTGAATGCACAAGACTCAATTTTATGTGAAAAAAAACCAAGGAGGGTCGTAGATGCTCAGCACTTGACACTATTGTGTAGTAGGTGTAGAAATATAGCTCAAATTTTCCGAAAATAAGAAATAAAAGATCATGGGCAAATTGTCAATGAATAAAAGTCCAAGGGGCCAATCGGCAGATTCCTCAAAGTAAAAGGGTCCATAGCGTTCTCTAGATTTTACTATCGTTTCTTAGCAACCAAGGACAATTTTACCGTGCAGCAAAAAAATAATCCGAAAATTTTTAGAACTGATACAAAGAATTTTACCCATAAGTGCCGAGAATGCTCTTATGAAATTGGTTAGGTCCACATTTGTTTCACGCACAATTTAACCTTCAAGAAGACATGAGTTGTTGACTACGACTTCTCTAAACTCCGCTGCCCATGTGAAAGAGATCAAACAAGGGAATTAAATATATGATTAATAACTCAATCTCTATCTTCAAGCTTTCCTAGTGAAGAACACCTTAATCAAGTAAGAAATCAAAATCAAATCCAATCAAGGATTCTATGAGATAATTTCGGGATATTATTAATTAAATAACCCACTCTACAACAAACTGCCGACACATCCCTCAGGACAATCACCCCATTGCCGGCCTTCTGCTCTATAAATAACCCATTCTACACAAACTCTAGTAAGCTTTTGCTACCCAATTAGGTCATAAACTGAAACTGATTTATCCATCGGAGCTCCATTAGGTACAAATTCGTTTTCATGAATTCATCTTAACAAATTCGTCAAAACTAAAGACGACGGATTTTTTGCTACCACATTTAAAACTCAGAGTAACTTTTATTTTTCTTAGCCACTTATCAGGTCATTGTTTTCCCAACTTTCTTTGGTTTCCTTACGTTCTGTTTGTTGCCTAGAATGTGAATCCAATAGAAAATAGGGTAACTTGTTTGTATGGATTTTTATAGCAGTAACAATCTGTATTGGTAATTTGCTTATTTCCATGAAGAAAGTAGCTAAATCATCTGTTATTTTTTATTTTCAAGAAATCTGCAACAAGACTAATCCTAATTACAATTTACAAGACTAACCAATAACGTTATGTTGATGGTAATTATTTACTGATCTTTTGTGTTGGATTAAAGATTCAACTCTCTTTGGTTTGTTTACTCCAGGGAGTTTGCAGAATGGGGTTGTGGTTTGTCGATTTGCAAGATCCACTCGGTATGTTTGGGCAAGGGACTTCCAAATTCCAAATTCTAAAGTATTGATACGGAGTTAATAAGTAACGGATTACAAAGTGTTAGATCAAAGAGATTTAGATATGACATTGCAAAATTGTAATCGTATGTCCAACATTGTAATGCTTTCAAAATGAGGTATGAAAAAAGGGTTTAAAATGTAATTGCACTAGGATTTAACAGAAAATAGACAAAAGTTGACAGAAGGTACATTGCTCTAAATCACAAACTTCAGGTGGTTATTAGTTTTAAAAAAAAAAAAATTCCACATGTAGTATTTGCGCACACAGGTAAAACATCATATGGTAAATGTGCAAAATTGTTTACCCCTACATTTGGTTAAAGAAATTTAAGTCATAAAAAAAAATCTAAAATTACGAAATTTGAAATTTGAAAATTGAAATGACGGAATTTTTATTTTTATTTTTAAATTGTGATTTTCTTATTTGCTTAGGCTTAAGAAACAATGGAATTTAAGTTCAAAATTTATGGGAATCTAGTCATTAATTTTTATATTTATATATGTTGTAAATGTGGTTAGCCCCCCATAACGATATTCGATTAATCCATGAGTGTGAAAAACACCAGATCGAGCATGAGTTAGTGGGTTTTGATTCATGCTAGCTCATCCACTTGTGTATAAAACCAACACAAGCAAAACACAACACAATAGAGAAATGTAAGTTATACCAAGGCTAGAGAGAAGAGAGAAAAATAGCAAGAGTTATCTTTACTTTTCTATTATTTTAGATAATGAAATAAACTAGTGATGCTGCCCTCGAGGGCGTAGACACACTCGTTGAACCTCGTAAATATCAGTTCTACTTTCCTAATGTTCTCAAAATGAGGACTTATGAGGATCAAATGCATATTAGCCATAAGATTATATTAATCTAGATAAAATACTTGAAATATTTCACAACTTAATAAAATAAAACCAACTTAAAATTCATGATCCATTAGAAAACCTCATTTTCTTGTTTTGCTTTAATTAAGTTATAAAATATTTTAAGTCTTTCGAGATAAACTAATATAATATGTTGTTAATATGCTTTTAGTCTCAATGGTCCTCAAAATGAAGACTTTAGGATAGCAGGATTTCCTAAATATTTTGCTTTATTTACTTTATATGCCAATATACATATATCAACTATTATACAACACGTTATCAGCAAGACAAACTTTTGTGTTAGTGAAGAACAACACCATAGATCCTTTGAAGCACTCTCTGCCTCTCACAACTCAGTTGAAATCTCACAGATAAGAAAATGTTCTTATTTTTTCATAACTCAATATCACTAATTTTCTTGATTGTAAAAATAACACAAACAGAAAGAATGAAGATGGTGGTGCAACACCAACTTTAAAAAAATAAGCCCTAACATTCAATGATAAAGAAGTAAAGGGTACAAGAAAAAAGGGAAAATAAGATTGTGACAAAAAAAAAAAATGAGGGTAACGATTGTCCGCTAGACCAGGCAAATGAGTCATGTTTGTCGTGTTCGTTTTGATTTCGTACAACATCTCTTATCCTAACGGGTCGTGTCGTGTCACACCCATTATTTTAACGGGTTCTTAATAGTTCGAGGTCACTTTACCCGTTAAAATTAATAGATAAAATGACCCTACCAGTTTAACCCATTAAGAAAAAAAAATATTTAAAATTTGCACATAACATTTTGTCACATAAATATTTCTTCCAAAACATAAAAGCACATTTGTGGTTAAGTACTACATATGCCAAAATAAGAATCTAATAAAAAAGTATCAATACACTACTACAAAATATCAAATATGCAAAGATATGCAAGATGAAGTTTTTCATTTCAAGGTTGTGGAATCTTTCTCAGAACTTAAAACATTGCCAATGACACTCAAAGCTTGCCTTGACAAAAAAAAAAAAAAAAAAAAAAAAATGAAACTCAAAGCTTGCATGTTGTTCTTTTTACAAATCCTTCAATTTTCTTCGTTCATCCTAGATAAATGGTATTGAAACTTTGGCTTCATCTATTGTTTTCAAAAGTTATAATGATAATGTTTTCAGTAAGGCTTTTCACATCAGAACTCTTTTCTGCATAAACTAAGTATAGAAAAACCAAACATTATAAATCATTCAAATTTTGAGAAGTTTATAAAAAATAATTATGAAAAAGAAATAAAACAATAGTACTATATCACATAAAAATATATTAGGTTTTGTGAAATTGTGATTGAGAATTAGGTTTTGTGTTTGTACTGCTGACTGATGTTGTAATTGGAATTCATACTTCAATAGTAGGGATTTAACCTCACAAAGGTGAGATTAAATCCTAAGTGCTCTTAATTATGGTAATTTTTTTGTGCTATAAAATTATTAAATTAATATTTTTCTTATTATGTTTTGGGTTACCTAGCGTGTATATTTGGACTAACCCGTTATATTAATAGGTTCTTATACGGTTACCGATAACGGACCGATTCATTATCACATCGATCCTGAAACCTGTTAATTTAGTATCGTTTCACGTCAGGTTAACTAGGTCGTTGCTAGAGCTACTGTCTTGTGAGAAGAAAGAAAAAGGAGAGAATTTCCTTCTCTTTGTTTTTGTTTTATTATATATATATATTAAAGACTATTTATATATATATATCTATATATATATATATGAATAGTGTAGCATTTTTGCCTTTATAAAGAACTTGGCTGCTGAAAAAATCAGCAGCAGCTCCTGCTACTAACAAATCACATATGGACATGTGTTCAATTTGTGATTAAAAAATCAATTACTTGGACACGTGTTCATTTGTGATTGGTTAACAACAGGAGCTACTGCTGATTTTTCAGCAGCGAAGTTCTATTATTCTTATAATACTAGTCATTATCTTTTAACTTTTGAAGTTTATGTGAATTATGTTAGATTAAAGCACTTGTCACAAGTTTTATGAGTGAGTGGAATTATTGACTTTACAATGATTTATTATTGTACCACATTTTGTTATAATGAGTATTTACTAGAAAATGAAGTTCCTTGATCCTAATTACATAAAAAGATCGGACTCCAAATTTCTTCATCAAAATTATAACCTGAAGTTTTTCTTTTTTTTGATAGGATCAATTGATAGAGCAACAATTCCTTAACTTAATTAAATTACAAAAAATCCTATGTCTACATGTTATTAAATAAGGAACAAAAGTTCCTTCATTCATATGAATGAAGACCAAAAGTTCCTCAATCTATGTACAATTAAGTATGGCCATAAATTCCAAAAAAATGAACATAAAAACTAATAATGAGATCTCAGGGGCAAATTACGAGTACAAATGTATAATGTCTTTACTTGAAGTTTAAAATATAAAAAATTATTTACAGTGGTGAAATTATCGCATGCAATGATTTATTTATTGCACTACATTTTGTTATGATGGGTATATACCGTACATGAAGTTCTTTGATCCTTATCATATAAAAAAGTCGGACTTGAAGTTCCTTGATCAAAATTAAGACTTGAAGTTCTTTTTTTATTTATTTTTTTGAATCAATTGAGAGAGTAACAATTTCTCAACTTAATTAAACAAGTGCCTCAATCCACATACT